GTTGACAGTTTGCTCTACTTGTGAAACAAGCTCTGACTGTCCGAATGCTGAGCCCCTCGTTATATACACCGGTGACCCGGTCTGTCCAAGACTCGTTCCCTCAGCTCGCTGCTTGTTGAAGCGATTAGCGTCCTGCTGCCTTGCTCTCTTTAAAATAAAGTGCGTACCGACTTGCGCGACTTCAAAGAGAGCTGTGTACACAGCACCCTCCTCCTCTTGAATGGGTAGCATACGGAGCGAATCGCACCGATGTGCGTGTCCTTCCTCGTATTAGCAGAGCTTCTTTCTGCCGGTCGGGTATTGGGGTGCTCCCAGGGCTGGGACGTACTGGGCTACTGCTGCCGCTGCTCTGCTCACTGAAAAGGACCCATTTGTATCAATTGTTGCAAAGATCTTTCTCTCATCTGCTCATTACCCATCTGACTGTCAATCATTGCATCTTTAAACCATACGTCCAATTGCCTCTGGTGGCGCACCGCAATTCTAGCTTCCGTTCTGACTTCCTGGCCCTCATATGCATTGAAATAACTCCAGGAACCCGTGCCAGATTTTTCTTTAATGATGCACAGAAAACTGCTTCCTGCCTAATATTTGGGTTGAATGCTTTCCGGTTTTCATCAATTTGTAACAAGGTCTTCCAAGAGAGTTGTATTGCCTACATTTTTTTTTACTTTCTCGTATACGTGCGTATATAGGAGTAATATAGGGAACGATATGTAAGGTTGCGGAAAATATATATCGACATTTCAACTGAAAGACACGTTCTGGGATCTTACTCCAAAAAGGTTTATTTATTTATTTATTTTAGAACGTCCGTCCATCTGCGTGTGAAAATCCCTGGCGCCTATACCATTAGTATAGTTTTCCCCAAAATCGATATTCCTCGGGCGATCTGGATGGAGTCAAAGCTGTGCAATTTTGAAAACATTTTTTTAAACGTCCATGGTACTGTACATGAAACCTTTCGAACATTACCACAATTTTCTCTAAAGCGGATCAAAAGTTTTCTTTAAATTTGTTGTATGAATGGAGTAAAATACATTTGTAAAAATGGCATAGGTGTGAGTTACATTGTTAACTCTAAATTTTCGAAAACTGCAAACATTTTAAAAAAATTCACCGTCTTCCTATAAATATAATCTTAAAGACATCCATTTTCTACTCCGGAAAATTTTGTTTTCCAGAATTACTTGTATTATTAACGTCATGAACATTATTTTGAACATTTTAGTGGTTTCCTAGCAATTGTGAGTGCAAAATGGGCCGTATTAAAACCCAAATTTTCTCAAAAACTGACTCAAATTTCTTTTTTCAAATTTTTGATGTTGATGATGCTAAATGCTCTGTATTAGATGACGTGCCCGGAATTTTGCCGTATTGTTTTGTTTGTTCAACGATAACACAAAATGCACGTCGTTAATATTTACATGAACGTCAATGTGTACGTTGCTAAATAACCCCATTTTTTTATAAATAATGCTAAACGCACTGAATAACAGGACATCAATGCTACTCTTCTGTGTGTGTGTGTGTGTGTGTGTGTTTCAAACACATTACAAAAATGATTTTATTATATCTCACGTCGTTATACTTACATTACATTTCACAGGGTTTTTCTTATACATTATCGCATTTGTGAGTAAAATTGCTTCGAATACCGTCTAATGAAATTTCTCGAAAACTCAAAAGCTTTGGATCAAAATTAGTGTCAAAAATGCTCTTTTTCAGAAACGGTCAAACAGCATTTTCTCAAAAACAGTCCCACTTTTATCAACGAAAATTTACATTTAGGACCAGGCATACCTCTTCTACTGTTGATACTTTGTTATAATAAGGAAGGCAATGTAGTATATCTAAATGTACAAGTTCTAATGGCATAACATCGCGATTTCTTACCCACACGGGTTTCACACAATGGTTGTTCTGAAGTGACACTTAGGAACAAAGAATTAACACGTGTTCCGTTGCAAAAGTGTTCTTCTGAATGACACATATGAATATTAAAACAGTTGTGTAATTATTACCCTCACCATGTGTACAAAACTTAACTCTTTCTACCCATACACAGTTTTATTTTCGAGGAAGAAAATACACCATCCCACCCGTAGCGAGGAGTTTCAAACACATTGCAATAAGCACGAGTAAACAATCTTGGCGTAATATGAAGTATTTTGCTCGGCCTGTCCTTTTAAACGCGATGTCACAGTGGCGCTTCCACAATACGAAAACCGCCCATTTAAGGAGCTGCAGCGGCCGTTTGTTGCTGAGCTGGTGCATATTTGACGAGCGAGCGAGCAGAGGAGTGCCGGACAGCAGAAGCGGGCGGCCCACAAGACGAAACGACTCAGGTGGGCGGCGACTCAGTTGTCGAGCGGACACAGTGATCTCAAATGAGCAAACAAGCATTGGTGAATTGATTCATTCAGTGAGCAGGGATTCCAAACAAAACACATTAGCCGGTTTTTCTCAGCATTATTTAAAATTTTAGTGCTAATCGTTGATCTCCCTCCAGTCAAGACGAACAACTTCGATGCAGTCACTTTTTACTGTAAGTATGCATGTTAAAGTCTCATTGATTATTTTTTACTTTTCTTTGTACTACTTACTAAATAGAAGTTGGTTTTGTAATGTTGCGGCAAACAAGGCGATTTTGCGGCAGAGAAACTCTCTTTGTTGCTATTGACACACGGTATGAAACACGTTGAGGAGTCATAAATCTCGCCTCTTCTCTTGGGTACTTGATAACGAAAAATTGGTTTACGGTAAAACGTCTACCCTTTTGTGGTCAATGTTTACGCCTAAATCGTTCAGGGATTTTTCCAAAATTTGATATAACCAGATCGATGTTTTGGAAATCAAGCCCTGATAATTTCAAATTGTTATTTCGATTTTTGGGGGTTATTTTCTTTAAACCTTAACATTTTTAATCTTTCTCAAAAAGTCTCCAAATTTGTTGAATAAATTCCTTCTTTACAGCATACATAAGCACCCTAAAACGATGGCGTAGGTATCATTTTCATTAAAATCAAAATTTTCGAAAATTGCAAAAAAAATTTTTTTTTTTGCTTCTTCGTACAACTACTATATTGAAGATAGATTTTTTCTTATGACTCGTTTTCTTCAAAAACAGATCTTTAAATAAGCTTAAGTACCTTTTTAACATGAGTTACACCAGTTCAATTTTCTTTTTAAGGCGTCCAAACGGTTGTTATTCGATCTGCATCTTTTGGTCTTGTTGAGATGCTCTTACCGTGCTAAAACCAAGTGTCCTTGATGTCGAATCTCAACAAAAGCATTGCAAATAATTCGAAAACGTACGTGATGATGAAGCACCACTAGTTATAATATTTCTTCTTTTCTGAAAAACTTATCCCGTTTAAATTCAATAAATGTAATTGACGCACCTAGACCATACAGATTTTTCAAGAATGGATATTCTCCATTCGATCTGGCTCCATTTGACCCGTTGGTTATGTGAGATTTTTCAAAGAAATCTTAACTTTAAAATGTACTTTTCATTAAATAATTTCACTTTCAATTTTTTTCTCAAAAATATGTTTCATTTTTTACTTTAAATTCGCTGCGCAAAAGGAACTGCACTGCACGGAATGTAAAATATTGAATTTTCAAAAAGTCAAGAGTTTTGAAAATCATTCCCTGATAATGACATTATTTTTAATGCAACTGATCCTTTAACACAAGGAAAGTAAATGATGTCAGAGATTTTTCAAAATATACGTTATGTAGTTTTTTGTAATGTTTAATCAAAATGTTTCTATTTTCCAAAGGCACCTAAAATAGATTTTCAAAAAATTGCTGCAAATTTTTCTTTAACATTTTTTTCAAAGATAGAGAACAGCACAACAATGAGGTAACATTCTCGTCGTTTCGCAAGTTCTGAATTTGTTGAGGATTCCAAGTACGTACACGAGTGATATTGTGTATTACTTCGTGAATAAATTCTACTTTAATGAACTCAAATATAACTATTAAATAATAAAACGAAAAAAGTACTGTAGTTTTAACATGCCTTTTTTGTTTATGGTTTTAATATCATTTAATTCCCTAATGATTTAAAGTAAGATATGGAAGCTATACTAAGAAAGGAATTTATATCTGTGTCGTTTATATTCGAAAATCCCTTTTTACCAAGAAACGAATGTCAAAATAATGTGCCGAATTGGAAGTAACTGAAAAGAACATTAATTAAATGAACTGTTATTAAAAGCACAACTACTATCAGCCATGACCATCAAAACGTTGGACATCTCTTCACTTGATGTTGTAGTTTCTTCAGCAGAACTACTGGCACAGTTTCAAAATGCTTTCGTAAAGCGTATCACATTCGCCCTAATGTCTTGCTGTATCTTATTAACCCCGAAAGACCCTATTGTTTACTTCTTTCTAAAATTATCGAAAATTTACCATTAAGTATTAGTTGGTAATCCAACTCGAACGTCACAAAAAAAAGACTGTCAGTAAGGTAGTATCAAAGTACTATAATTTTTCCCCTTTCACATTAAGTAACTTTCTTCACTTAATCAGTGATTTCGTACATATAAAATGTCACTATCTTCTAAATGACAAAATGGCAATTCCTATCGCAAATATGATGACCCTTAGATAGATAATATTTTTCTGGGGGGTGAAGGGGGAGCATCAAAATTTCTTTATCCACTAGTCACTGGAAACCAAAAAGATAATAAAATAAATTACAAAATAAAATAGACTTAAAAAATTATTTTAGAAAAATGCTTTAACTTGAAAAATAATAATTTCGAACATGATTTAAATATTTCTATCCGACAAAAACTTTATTGGACAAATATTTATTTTCTTATAAATATTCTGAAAGTATTAAAATTATAATTACGATTAAGGTCTTAGTTTTTGGAATCGATGTCAAATATATATAATAAAAGTTAGCAGACATTGCTTTGGAATACAATATTTTTAACTAGTTCTCGATAAAAATAGATGTTTGAAATTTTCAAAGGCGGATGAGGTATTGGCCCACGATGAAGTCTAACTTTCAGGCCAACCGTAGCAATGAGTATCAACTCAATTGATTTTGTTTTTTAACATAAAATAAGAGTGTTATAATAATATCAACCAAATTTATGGCTGCCTCTAAGCCGTCTACACTGCCACGCATGACATCCTCACCGACAAGAGAAAAAAACGTAATATCTTGAATTGTTAATCATCAATTCATTAAATATTGTTTCGTGTTTCGTTCACCGCGGAAATATAGCGCACATTGAAAGAATCATTTCGTACGTTTTCATTCAACAAAGAGATATCCCATTTAAAATGTGTCACTAAGGTTTATCTAGTTGATTACGACCCTCATTTCTTTGAATAGTTCACCTGTAGGTTTGTGTTAGGTTTATACTTTTTTTTCTTGCGTAGTCTATATACAGTCAGTTATGTATGTTGCAAAAAAAGGAACGTCGAGATTTTGACGTGTACGTTTTGACGGTCCCTGATACCCCAAAAGTGTTTTGTTTCAAAATGTGAACACTAGAGTGGTGGAAATTAGTACAAAGGCACTAATGTTATGTAAAGAATATAACGTCAGTCATATTAAATAAATTATTTAACATGCCAGTTCTTCGTTTGCAATAAAATACATTTTTGTAAAAAATAAGAATACAAAAATATTCTACTTTTGTGAAATAAAACAAAATTAAACAATTTGATTTTTGATTATTCATTATGAAAATACTCAAGAAATATTTTCCTACTGATGTCTAATATTTGTTAAATCTCCTCAATGGAGATTGCTAACCATTTAGATGTATTGAGTCAAAAATCTGTATGTGTCGTGTGGGTGAGAAGATAATCTGCGCACGTTTTCTTTCACCCATTCTGAACGAATATAACTTTTCAGCTCAGCTACAGTCTCGAATTGCCGTCCATTTCCATACACACACCTTGCTAGAATTTCTATTGTTTTTCCATAGAGTTTAAGTCAGGACTTCTAGTCGAGAACCCCAAAACTGCGTTCCTTTTTCTTGAAACCATTATCTTGCCTTTGCAGATTAGTGAATGGCTGATTTACCTTTAGCACAGAGTGTTACCAAGATCATGGCATACCCGCTCCCGAAATTTCTAGCCATCTGGACTTGATTTGCATTACGGTGATCATGCCAGTAACACTGAAAACTATCAGAACCGTCTAAATTAAATTTCTTTTCGTCGCTAAAAATTGCTTCATTCTATTTTGAATTCCAACACATCTGCTCTTCAGAAAATTTCAATCTAGTCATCTCGTGGACATTGGTTAGATTCTGTTTTAGTAGTCATTTTTTTAAATGTAAAATTACGATATTCTGCCAGTACCTAATCTTCCTAGCAGTGACAGGTGGTTGGAAATCACCATTTGAGAAGAATACACGTTATTGACTTTTTCGCAAAATTAATCGTTTGGAGCCCCGTAGAGCTTTCTTGCTCGATCATATTTATTGTTTCTGCCGTACTGCGCACCCAGCTTGACAAAATTATCAATAACAGCTCGATTGACTTAATTTATTGCATATTCCACAGTTGGGAAGTCTCATATCTTTATAGCCACGAATTCTTGCTTTCTCTTCCTCAGACAAACGTTTTCCTGGAATTAACGAAACAATAGAATTCTTCACAACAAACAGTCTCTTCTGCACACAAAAGTAAACAGAAAAGTGCCAACGGAGTGCCTTTAAACTGATTTCCACCTCGAGAGTGCTTTGTTACTCTTGTGCAATTTTGCTAACTAATCAGAAGCAATATCGGGTTTAACGATGTGCATAACAATTGTAGACGCATTAATTAATAAATGTGATAATTTCTCTACTCGTCAATTCATTTATGATTTTCTTTCAAACAATTGTCTTGCATTTATACTAATTTCCACCACTGTTATGGCTAGTCATGTGGCTAGTGGCTAAACGGTTCACAGAATATCACCAAAACTGATATTCCGTGATCGAATATGCTGGTGTCTCAGACCCTTGAATATAAAACGATATTTTCATTTTGTGGGAAGATATACATGAAGAACCAAGCCATTTTCTAAAGGTCCACAAAAATTGATTCGAATTACTTCTTTAAGCTGTTTGCTCAAATTGAGAACGTACGCTAATACAAATTGGGCAGTACTCATTTTCATTGAAACGTCTGAATTTTCGAAAATAGCGAAAGTCAAAGATTTATTCGCTCCTCCTACAACTACATTTTTTAAATAGAGATTTCTTTCTCGTGATTTTTCTGAGAAATTATATCGGTACGAATAAAGTCATATACCAGTTTTTGATCATTTCAGCAGGTTTTCTTTTTTGGAATTTTCAGAGAAATCGGGACAATTACAAAAAATATTGTTTTCAAAACACGGTTCCAAATGTCTCATTTTTGGTTTCAAAAAAACAATATTTGCTTAATAATATAACGCACAAGGAATTTAGAAAAATATTGTTTACGGTTTTTTTGTCACGATATTATTGCAACATAAAATTCTGAATGTAACATAACCCCCCAAAATTAAAATATCAATTTCATATTCAAGGAACACAACATCAGCCAAATCCATTGGGGAATATAAATTGTGGTAAAAATCCTTAGTACGATTAAGTGTTGTTGTCGTCGTTATTATTATTATTATTATTATTATTATTATTATTATTATTATTATTATTATTATTATTATTGTTGTTCCCAGATGGGCAGGACAGAAGGACGGGCGGCAATTTAAGACATTTAATCAGTTTATGTAAAGTAATTAATTGATGAGTTCCAAATTTCAAGGGCTACGACATAACACAGATCGATTCATTTTGGTGAAATTCTGATGCGGTTTAGGCGCTAAAGTTGTTCACAGTCAGACGGCCGGAGTCAGAGGTTTTGAGATATTATATTTTTGATTATCAATTTGTAGAATTTGTTTTTGATTATAGGAGGAATAAAAATCCACTTTTTCGGTATTAGGGTCCCACAAAATCTGTTTTCCGTCGAAAAATCGGCACTTTTCCCGCAGTATTACATTACTTTTTTCTATTCTACATAGTATTCGAGAAACTAAAAGGATGTCATTAGTGTACCGGTGTCGCGTCGTACTTCATAAAGTGAAGAACTCTAATTTCACTTTGTTTTCAGATTTCTTATAGCTGAGCAGTTCAACGCACTGGCCGGCGGCGTAATTCAAGTATCAGACGCAATGTGCGTGATGCTGCTACTTCTGCCGCTGTTGCTACCCCCACTACAGCTGCTGGGGATTAACGGCGCAGTGCTTCCAACTCAGCAGAGGTAAGCCGCACGACGTAAGCCTCGCACAATATAAGAATAATGCGGAACTTCACATACTTCAGTGTTTATAACTTTTGTGAAGACATAAGCAATACAAAACATGCTTAAAAAGTGTTCTGGAATGTAACTACAATATATAGCATGTACTTTTTTTTTAATGATACGTGTTCATCATCTGCCCCCTTTCACATCATTCATTGGTGATATTTCACGGGCTGAATATCATCCTCATAACTTTTATTTTTAATGTAATTACCAAATTAATATCTGTTTGCATGTTTGATAAAAATGTCTGTATTTAGTTGATTTCTATCGCAAGGAAATAAATCTTGAGTTTTAAATTCGCTTGTTCTTTAAACGCCTCGACAACGATTGAAATCCCTCTAAGAGGCAGATCTCCGTTTCCTCCTGACGTGAAGTAGATACTTCACACATACGCTGGACTCCGTACATTTTGATCACTCTTTGCGTAGTAGCAGGGGCAAGATTTCGGATCAATTTATTGGGGAGCAAATTTGAGAGATAAGTATTTTTATAGAAATTTAAAATTAGTTTTATAAAAAATAGTTTAAATTTTCTTTGATTAAATAATATTAATTTTAATAAAAATGTACGAAAAGCAGTATGAAAAATGCTTGTATTCAACAATTTACTTTTTAATAATCTGTATTGCGTCACAATACGTGTTTGATGTACAAAACATATAAATATAATATACGTATATAAATATATTATATTATAGGTGCTCGAATTGTGTTTTATATTTTGAAATTTAAGTACCATACTGTATCATATATGTATAATTAATGGGAAATAGTATTTATTTATGAGAGTTAATTCGAGTATTATGACTCATGATTTTGGGCATGAAACTGTTTAATTTCTAAATAAATCACGTTTAAAAGCAAAATATAATTGAAAGATGATTTATTGATACGGAATATTTACAGTAACGCTGAATGTAATACAGCACGTTTTATATTACTGTACTAAAGTTCACAATTTTATTCCTGTACTAGCTCACCTTAATAAAATTATTGTTCGCTTAATTATTATTAAATTTATTTTCAAAATACAGAAAAAAAGTAAATCTTTTATAAAATAAATTTGAAGATTGGCGAAATGAAATTTCTAAATACATTTTTTTTAATTGTCCGAAAAGGGGGGGGGGCTCTTAATTCCGCTTCTGCGAACTACAGCATCTCACTGTAGCACCACTCCCTCTTACTCAAAAATTCGGCCCTCAAAGAGTAACGATCCTGAGTCTGGATCACGTTTACTTAGGCAACCAAATACCAAGCATTCGTAATAAAATTATCTTCGTATTGACACATATTTTAATTACACGAGATGTGATGGTGATTAGTGGCCGGTTTATATCTGGAATTTCTAGTAATATTTCGAACAAAAAGATAAAAACCATTTCATACTTTCTCGCACTTACCAAGGTACTTAAATATACTGTAGGAAGAGAAAGTTATGTAATCGCGCACCGGAAAACGCCGACTTTTTGGCAGAAAAACTATTATTGCCCAGCTCTGGTAACGAGGAAGTGGATAAATCCTTGTGCTAAATACAGAAAAAAAATTCTCCAACATGTGGTGTAGCCAGAATCCAGGTTTTGTGAATCCTTGATAAAGAAAAATTGAATGAGGGCAAAATGTCTGTCTGTCCGTCCGTGAACAAACCGTGGCTAAACCATTCAGACGATTTTCTCAAAAATTGATATTCCCCAATCGATGTGGCCGATGTCGCGGGCCCTTGAATTTGAAACAGATATTTTAATTTTGGGAATACGTTTCATGAAGTCCGTAGGTCATTTTCAAAATTTTCAAATAATGACCCTATTGTTTCTTATTACATTTTGTTGTTGGATAGCGTGAAGGACGTTGAAGAGAATGGTACAGATCTCCTATTTGTTGAAAACCCTAATTTTTCGAATATTGCAAAATTTCAATGTTTTTTTGGTGCCTTCCTACAGCTAAAATATTAAGAATAATAGATTTTTCTGAAATTTGTTCGTGGAAGATGGAAACTTCCGTCAGTTCGTCCATCACTCTGTTAACAATACCTAAACTTTCCGTAGATTTTTTCCTTCAAAATTAACATTTCCTTATCGATCTCTCTCGACTCAAATTTTGAAAAAAAGCAAATTTTGTTAGTAGTTTATATGAAGCCCCTAGGACATTTTTGAAATTTTCTTATGGGTGTACATTTTTCTTTAAATTTCTTTTAAGAATAGTGTGAAATACATTTATAAAGATGGCATACGTCTAATTTTCATTGTTACCCCTTTTTTAAAAATTATAATCTTCCTGCTCAACATACATGTTTTTCAGGGTTGTGAATAGAAACATACTATATAACTTTTGTTTTATTTCCTAACTGTGGGTGTCCTGGATGGGTGCGTTAAATGTTTTTGGTTTATTTTCACAATTTAAATTATTTTTTAGGCAAATTGAAGCTAGACATAATGATCATTGGTATGGTTAATTGATGAAGGTCATATCATTTGAGGTCGATTTCCTGTTATTTTATGGTGGTCTGAATATGTCTTTAGAGAAGCGAGAGTTTATGCGTAGTTTCGGATCTGCTTTGCGTCCAATGGAGGTGTTGGGAGATGTGGGGAGTGACGAAAAGAAGTCTTCGAAAGTGTTTTTTTATTTGACGGAATTTGCAGTTCCTGGTGGATTTCATCGTTAGAAATAAACCATGGAGGCTTTAATTACAATCCTTAACGCTTTATTTTGTGTAATTTGAAAAAAAATGTTTAGATTAGATTAGGTTGCATTTCCCTATATTGAGCATGAGTAAGTCATAGTTGGTCGAATTACAGATTTGTAAATTATCACTCCGGGCTCAATTTTAAAGGAGGATTTTCTTTTTTGTTCATTAATGCGTAAAGTTCAGAAATTTATGATTGTGTTTTGGTTCCTGTTGATGTGTGTTTTCCAGTTTAATTTTGTATCAAGTTGCATTCCTAGATACTTCACTGCTGTATTACTTGGTACCCAGGGAATAATTTCGTTGTGCATATTTAACTGGAGAGGATGATGGGAGTCTTTGAGTGAACAGTTTTGCCTGTGTTTTATCTGGATTTATTTTAATTCTCCAATTTTTTGTCCACTCATTGAATGTGTCGAGTTCGTTGTCGAAAGTGTCAAGTTATTCCTAGCTGTCATAATCTCCCCATACTTTGAAAAAGTGCAGTGTCGTCAGCGAAAAGCGCTATTTTGGGAATTTATTAGATGTGGATAATCATATATATATATATATATATATATATATATATATATATATATATATATATATATATATTGAATAATACTAGAGATAATGGGGCAGTCCTGCTGAAATCTGCCGCAAGGATGGTATGGCATCGTTAAATTTTGTCTTGGAACTTTCTTTGATTTAGGGAACTTTGAAGAATTTGGTATAAGTAGTCTGGAGTACCTATTTGTCTAAATTTGTAGAGAAGGCCTTAATGCCATATTTTGGTTATGTCCAGGAATATTGCGTTAGTGTATTGTTTAGTATGGAATCCTTGGCCTATATATTCGGTTAATCGTAATATTTGATGTGTTGTGGAGAGGTGAGGTCGAAATCCAAATTGTGAGTATGGGAGTACGTGTGTGTTTGTCAAAAATGTTTATTATTTCTTTTACTATCAGTTTCTTTAATAGTTTCGACAACGAGGGGGGAAGCCTTATTGGTTTAGTTTCCTGGGTCTTTTGGTTTCTTTCCAGGTTTGCGGAAGGGCAGTACTGTAGCAATTTTCCAATCGTTGGGAAAGTAACATAATCTGAGTTCTGCGTTAAATATTGCTTTAATGCCTACTATGAGATTGTTATTTAGTTCTTTTAGAACGTTATTCAAAATAGAATCGCATCCCGCTGATATATTAGTTATTAGCTGATTGTTTGCCCTGACTTTAATAAATTGCAAAATATTTAATTTTTTAGGAGTTTTCTACAGATACAATACGTAGTGGAGATAGAAACCTTTTCTTCAAATGAAATTTGTTCCCCACAAATAGTGCTTTAATGACTGTCATGTACTTTTTAAAAAAAAAATCATTTAGTATGACTGAAGAGCATTTAGTATTAGAGTGAAAATGGACAATATTACACAATATTTAAAACTCGATTTCTTAAAAACGGCTCCATTTGTTTACTTTTTATAGATACTGCTAAATTCTCTGTATAAGATGACAAACGTCATTTGCGACATTCTTTTGCTTTTTCAAAAATTACACCAATATATTTTTTGAAATATCTCTCGAATCGTTAATATTTGTATTACCAACTATTTGTTCACACTATTGCATTTGTGATTATAAGAGTTTCAAACGATTTCTAATGAAGTTTTAAGTTTTGAGTAATAATAAGCATTAAATGCGCATTTTCAGAAATGCTCATCATTGACTCAAAAATGGCTCAACATCATTTCTTTACATTTTTTGTTCTGACAATGCTAAATGGACTGAATAACGTGACGTAAATGCCACTTTGAGATAATATTTTTTCAAAATTTAAACAAGAATATTTGTTGGAAATATTTCTATTGTTGTCAATATGTACATGGCGGGCATTTCTTGTACATTATCGCATTTGTGAGTACAATTGATTTAACTAATTTCTTATGACGGGCATTTTCCGTAACGCTTAAACTTTTCTGAAAATTAGCTCTCAATTTTTCAATAAAAAAGTGCATATAGGAGCAAATGGTACCCTTCTATAAAATTTTTACAGTCATATTTCAATATTGTGTATTTTAAAAAAATGAAGAAACGTGAAAAATGTGTTTTAGCCCCTCAATATATACGTTGCCTTTTATGTTTCGGAATTTGGCAACCCTGATGTTGCAATCTGGTAACTGACAGCTCTATCGTAAAGTTGGATGTTTTGAGGTTATACGTACTCAGAACGTTTTCACATACGAGCGCTATTTGTGTTGTTTATAGTAACTTAAAAGATTGATCTTGGCCCAAAAATTGAATTAAGCCGTGAACGTTTTCTTGCGATTATTTTTTACAACTTTCGACGTGGATTAACTCAGCTGTCAATCACTCAAAAA